TAGCAAGGCAACGATAGTGGACTGGCCTCTGAGGCGTATGCCGCGAACAAAAGCCTGACTGGCCTGATTCCAAAAATTAGGGACAAGACCTCTGTCGGCCGCTGCACTCGTATGAGGCTTCTTGGCTTCCGGGTCGTTGCCGCAAGCCTGAAGAGCTCCATGCGACTCGATTAAGTTGCCAAGTACAGTGCTGGGGTGAACCGTTTGGGCATCGACCAAATTAGCAAAGTTCAGGAGGGCTTTCATGGTGGTTCGGCCCTGCTCGCCTCCATCCCAAAAACCACTCCACAACATGGAGTCTTTGTGACTGGTGGCCAGCGTTGTCCACCAATTCATGTTCACGTGCTTGCTTACTACCGACACAGAGCCGGTGAATACTTTGACAACATCCGATTCACAGCTCTGCGCGGGCCTCCCACTCACTTCGCTGCATTTGCGACGGAGGTCCCTCATGAGTCCTTGGACCTGGTCATGACATCTTGCCGTCAAGGACCTCGTGAGCGTGTCAATTGTAAGCACTGGTGGAGTGGGCGGCGGTTCTGGCCCCTTCCTTGCCACACTCCTGTCGAGGGACACCACGTTTCCTTCAAGAGCTGCCTTGCGCTGCTCCAGCTCATGCTGCATGTCCCTATCACGAAAGCCAGCCGAGAAGACCAGAAGAGCCGCGCAGATTTTGACGTAGATGCACACGGCAGCCATAGTGGGCTGAGGCAGGACTTCACAGACACACTAAACTGATGTCTCTGAGATCCGAAGACGATAGTCGGCACTTTCCGACTGCAGCAGGTCGTGACAGAAAGGATCATCCCAAGCACCAGGCACCTATCCAAAGATAGCCCTAAACCCTAAACCCTGAATCCTAAACCCTAAACCCTAAACTTCTGGCCCTAGGGTTCTTGGTAAGCACTTTGGATTTTTAGGGCAGCCTTGGCCTACAGCTTACAGCTCAGAAAAGTGACAATCCCAACTGCCCTCAACCTGCCGTCCCGGCAAATCGGTGAGAGAGGCGCCTTTCTACGAGACTCCTAAACCCTAAACCCTAAACCCTAAACCCTAAACCCTAAACCCTAAACCCTAAACCCTAAACCCTAAACCCTAAACCCTAAACCCTAAACCCTAAACCCTAAACCCTAAACCCTAGACTTGAAAGGGCCCAACAGGTCGATTTAGAACAACTCCTGATTCGGGTGCAAACACTTCCGGGCCTGTCTTGAGCAAGATCTGCGCAAAGCGCGGATCTCGAAGCATACCCCTTGCGGTCACGGCTGCTGTAGGGCTGGAAGTAGGGTAAAGGGTTTAGGGTTTAGGGTTTAGGGTTTGGGGTTTAGGGTTTAGGGTTTAGGGCTTAGGGCTTAGGGTTTAGGAAGGGCTGGAAGTACGGTAATTAGAGGGTTCTGACCTTCAATCGAGAAAAGCAGGGAAAGCTCACGATGCTCACTAGACTAGTATTGGCAGCTCATTTAGCTTATTTTCTTTCTGTTTCGCAAGCCACCGCACTTCCTGACTAGTTTGTGCTGCCTCGACATTCCAACTTGGAACCCACTTGGGAGGGATCTGCCGAGAGTTAAAGGTTGAGGGTGGAAATCCTGGATGTGACGGTGGATTGGCCCAAATCCTAAACCTAAATGAACCCTGAACCCTCCCGAAGCCCTAAACCCTAAACCCAAAACCCCAAACGCTAAACCCAGAAACCTAAACCAACTAGCGTTCAAGATTCGCTGAGTCCAACCCCGGCTTCTGCAAGTTTAGGGTTTAGGGTTTAGGGTTTAGGGTTTAGGGTTTGGGGCTTAGGGTTTAGGGTTTAGGGTTTAGGGTTGAGGGCTTCGGGTTTCGGAATTCGGGTTACCTAGGATTCAAAAGGGTACCCTGTTTTAGCGAAAAAGGGGGCTAAGACGGGAACCTAAGCCGTAGCAAAATATAGAAGAAGGGCCGACTCTGAGTCGGAATCAGGGTGGAGGACCGCCACGCGAAAGGGATGGCGGGGGTTGGGACCTGGGGTTTATGGATGCTAGACCCCAAGCCCTAAGCCCTAAGCCCTAAGCCCTAAGCCCTAAACCCTAAACCCTAAGCCCTAAACCCTTAAACCCTAAAACCCTAAAACCCTAAACCCTAAACCCTAAACCCTAAACCCTAAACCCTAAACCCTAAACCCTAAACCCTAAACCCTAAACCCTAAACCCAAAGCCAACCCCAAGGGCCTGGACTTGATTCCCAGAACCTGAACTTCGGAAGCCCTACAGAAAAGAAAACCCTACTTGGAGGTTCATGGTACTTATTAGCCAAGCAGAACAGTACTTATCACTGTACTTATAACCATAGTAGGGCACTTAAGGGGCTTATAAGTGGGTTATAAGTACAGTTGTATTTGGTTAGTAAGTACCATGAACCTCCAAGTAGGGGAGGGCTATTTGAGGGCTGCCAGTTATATATAAAGACTACATGGCACTATATGAGGGGCCTGTTAGGATTAAGGGTAAAACCCCTAAACCCTAAGCCCGAAACCATAAAACCCTCAACCCGAAACCCTAAACGCGAAGCCTTCCATGTTCCCTTGAAGGGCTGCGCCTCGAGAAGAGGACCACGAAGTAGTAGGCCCAGGGCTTGTAGGCAACCATCTCCTGGCCCAGACGAAGAATGGAGCAGGGTGCTTCGGGGGTTTAGGGTTTAGGGTTGAGGATTTAGGGTTTAGGGTTTTTGGGGTGTTTTGGCTGTGTTTGGGATGGTTTTTTGGGTGGTTAAGGTTTAGGCTTTTGGGGTGCTTTGGGGTGTTTGGGGTGGTTTGGGTGGTTAAGGTTTAGGAATCTCGGTGCAACCAGGGGTTTTAAAGAATTTTGATCCCCGAAAGAGTGCTATAGGGTTGCGGGTGTGTAAATAGGAGCGAACCGCAAACCCTTAAACGTAAGCCCTAAACATTCACGTCCTGGTCCAGATGGGGAGAGTACCGTGATGCAGCACGCATGACACAAGCTACACAAGCATCTCAAGCCAGTTGATCTAACAACCTACGTTAGGGGCCTCTAAACGGTTTCGGGGATTCTTATAGAATATTTACAAAGGGGCCATAAGGGAAAATAATATTAGTAATTATTCCGACGTTGAGCTCGGCCAGTGTTCAGCCAATTTAGTGTCCACTGATGACTAAAGCCTACGCACGAGGCAAAGAGGATTATCATGTGAGCATTTCATAACAACACCCGCCCACGCCAAAAATCCTAAACCCTAAACCTAAACCCTAAACCCTAACTCCAAGCCCAAAACCCAATCCCTAAACCTCCACACGCCAGCCGGCCTTCTGCGAGCGGACCAGGGCACACTCTGTACGCAGATGTCCCTGAACCTGGCACTCTCTTTCATAAGGACGTTGGGGTTTAGGGCTTAGGGGTTCAGGGTTTAGGGTTTCGTGTTTCAAGGCTTTGAGGGGCTTAAAAGGGCTGAAAGGCTTTAGGGGTGTTGGGGGCTTTCAAGGGTTTTAAGGGGTTTACGGGCTTTCAAGGGATTTTTTCAGGTCTTCAAGGATTTAAAACGGTTTGGGTTTCCAGGGCTCAGGGTTCAGGGATGTCCCTGGTGACCAAAGGAATGCTCCCTGAATTCAGGGGGCTTGATAGCGACCCCCCTCCCAATGAGGCCCCCAAGACCTGGCGATACCCATTTTGGTTCGATCCTGTTGGATGTGAAGGCCGGCAAGAGCCATTTGGCCGAAAGTCACCTCAATGCGCGGAATGTCCCTCCGGATAGAGCTGGTTGAGTGGCTTCTGGGACGGGCGGGAACAAAGAAACTTGATCTTGCGCACGGCGCCGTCTGTCCAGGCGTCCGCAGTCAAGGGCTGCAACCCTAAACCCTAAACCCTAAACCCTAAACCCTAAACCCTAAACCCTAAACCCTAAACCCTAAACCCTAAACCCTAAACCTTCAGCCACAGCAGGTGCTTGCGTTTTTGATCCACGCCCTGGAAAAACCAAGCCATTGTAAACAAGAAAACACAACACCACGCCACGATGATAAGTGAAAGCGAAACGTGAACGAGCTGCCACGGCACAAGACAATAGAGTTCTTAAGGGACATGGGGGGGGGGGGGTAGCTAGACCCTAAACCCTTAACCCTAAACCCCAAACCCTAAACCTTAAACCCTAAACCCTTATGTTTTTCAGGGGTCGACATCTTAGCAGAAGGAATACTACTTGCCTTCAACCCGAAGTCTTAAAACCCCTAAACCTTTGAATTGCAAGAACAACCCTGAACCCTCAAGCTTAAAACCCTGAAGGCCTCAACCCTTCTGCCCCTTCTAGATAAACCCCGAGCCCACGAGCGGTTCGCGCTTAGGGTTTCGGGTTTAGGGGCTGCGATAAACCGAAAGCCCTCAAACCCTCAACCCTTATGCCAGGATTTCCTCGCTAGCGCCTCGAACCCTTAGCCCCTAAACCTGTCCCAAGTTTCAGACTTCGGGTGATTTAAAGCCCCACCCCACCCCAAACCCTGAACCCTGAACCCTAAACCCTAAACCGCCGTCCCTCTCATTCCGAGGGATAAAGAAGCCGTGCCGGCCATGATCATGAAGACTTCGCAGGTTGCGAGTGCCTGGGAACATGGGCCGAAGTTCGCCCCGAAGCGGCTTGGGGTTTAGGGTTTAGCGTTTAGGATTTAGGGTTTAGGGTTTGGTGCTTAAGTGGCTTAAGATTTAGGGTTTCGGGGAGATTCAACTCACAACCCGGGTTGAGGGCCTAGGTTTCTGGGTTCAGGATTGAGAAGCCCTAAGACCTACACCCTAAACCCTTTAACTCTCCTCCGGAAAGCTTCCCAAGACCAGACGTGAGGGGCTCTCGCAAGCCCTAAGCTAAGCCTTAGATAACGTTTAGGACCTAGGGTTTAGGGTTTGGGGTTTAGGGTTTAGGGTTTAGGGTTTAGGGTTTAGGGTTCACCCTAAACCCTAAACCCCCCCTAAAGCCCCCCTAAAGCCCTAAGCCCTGAGCCCCTTAGAAGCCCGCCAGTGGCAAAGCCCGGCCTCCGCGTCCGTGACGGATCCCGTGATCAGAATTCGTGCCTTGGACTTCGCTGGGCCAGAGTTCGCGTGGCCGGAGCCTGGGATTTTGGGGGTGTAGGGGGGGGGGGGGGGCTTTGGGTTTAGGGTTTAGGGTTTAGGGTTTGGGGTTTAGGGTTTAGGGTTTAGGGTTTGGGGTTTGGGGTTTGGGGTTTGGGGTTTGGGGTTTGGGGTTTAGGGTTTAGGGTTGGAAACTAATCGGATTAGATAGGGATCCTTCTAATTACCCCAGTGAGGCTAAAGGCATCGAACTCGACTCCGGAGTAGGGTCCATCGCTCTACTTGGAGGTTCATGGTACTTGTTAACCAAGAATAAATGTACTTGGAGGGTTTAGGGTTTAGGGTTTAGGGTTTAGGGTTTAGGGTTTAGGGTTTAGGGCGACTGTACTTATAACTGTACCTAAAACCATATTAGCGCACTGAAGGGGCTTGTAATTGGCTTGTAAGTACAGTTATAGTTGGTTAATAAGTACCATGAACCTCCAGGTAGCGCTTGGCCCCTGCCCCTTTCGGCGAAAAGATCTGTCGTTTCAGCTACCCTAAGGGTCCCAGTACCTTAGTATCATATACTTGGGCCCCAAAGTCCTTATATAGCAAGTACTTTCAGGCCCAAGTGTTCCCTATTCAGGTACATGACCCTTCAGGGCAAGCTCATGTTGTCGGGTCCCCACCCCCCCCCCCCCCCCCCCCCCGCCGCTTCGCCACAGCACGCTGGCAAGTAAACTGCACATGATGATCAGCAGATGCCGGACCAGTACTCGTGGAAAGAGACAAAAGACTGCCTCTCTGTCTTCCGTGTGCAAGCATACCATACGAGCCACTGTTGCGTCCTCTGCGACTAAAACCAATTCCACCTGACACTCGTCTTGCCGCAGACGGGGCAAACCCCCTTTGGACCGGGCAAGTTGTCTTTGCCAGGGCATGGCGCATTCTTCAAGCCGCTGAGGTGCCGTGTGGTCCCCTAAACCCTCAACCCTCAACCCTAAGCCCCAAACCCTAAACCCTAAACCTTAAACCCTCAACCCTAAACCCTAAACCCTAAACCCTAAACCCTAAACCCTAAACCCTAGACCCACAAATGTCTAAGTCATCATGCAGCTTGTGGCCCAAACCCTTCACCTCGGTGAAGGCCAGCGTATGCTCGGTACCCGCCCCCCGGCTTGACTGTTCAAGGTTCAGCTTACATGCAGGGTTCAGGGTTCAGGGTTTAGAAGGTCTAGGTTTAGGTTTAGGGCTTAGGGTTTAGGATTCAGGGCTTAGAGTTAAGGCTAATTTGAGTTCAGGGTTTTCGGGCTAGGGCTCTAAAACTTCTTGCAAAGCCGTGCTGCCGAACACCTTCATGGAGATTTTGCACTGCTTGCACATCTCAATGACCACTTCCTGCACAGAGCATTTACGGTCGCAAATCAAAGCCGACATGCTCTTCATTGTGTGACGACTGCAGCCAGCACTCGTTTCGAGGAGCCTAAACCCTAATGCCTAAATCCCAACAAAAAAAGATCCAGCAGTCTTCTAGGGAATACTTTGGGGCTTACAGGAGCTGCCTAGAGAGTTTAGGGTTGAGGGAAACCCTATACTTCGCCACTAGGTCTGCTAAAGCGTGCGCTCTGAACAACCTGTTTCTTTCCACCATGCTTCTGAGGGTCTTTGGAGATAGTGCAGTCATATTTAACGAAGCAAGGCCTTTAATTTGGGACAAGCTCAGTCAAGCTCCATATGATCCACATGCGCATGCGCATAACCTAGACATATGTGTGACGCAAAGGAGTCTAGAGAGAATCGCACTCTCCATCTGCTACTTCAGGTCCTACGCAAGCCGAAACCAAGCTCTGAACTCCCCTAAACCCTAGACCCTAAACTCTTAACCCTCATCCCTGAAGCGCAAACGAAGCCTTGAACCTTGAACCCCAAACGCAGGCCTAAACCCTAACCCTAAACCCTAAACCCTAAACCCTAAACCCTAAACCCTAAACCCTAAACCCTAAACCCTAAACACTAAACCCTAAACCCTAAACCCTAAACCCTAAACCCTAAACCCTAAACCCTAAACCCTAAACCTAAACCCTAAACCCTAAACCCTAAACCCTAGCATTGGGGGGGGGGGGGGGGGGGGGAGCAGGGAAGCCTCGCGCTTTTCCGGGGATCCAAATCGGCTGAGGTAGAGCGGCGTCTTCTCATCCCGGAGCCAAAGGTACGCCTCACAACGACTTGGCTATCCTCCCCTTAGAACCTTAATAAAAAGAATATTTCTAATATCCTCTTGGGTTTTCTATGAACAAAAACAAAAAATCATTCCCACGGGGGATATAGTTGGTAGCCCAAGAACCATAAAACAACAAGGGCGCCCTTTTTGGGTTGGTTACTTGATAAGGGAACCTTGAACACCAAAACGGGAAAAGGGTACCACTGGGCTACCAAGACGACTTCGGGTTTCCGGGTTTAGGGTTTAGGATTTAGGGTTTAGGGTTTAGGGTTTAGGCGGAAATTCTTCTATGTTGGGGCTCGGGCAGCCGACATGCTAAATTCTCTGGAGGCGCAAACACCGGCTTGCAGGAAATAGAATTCGCACAACTCCGGCAGGCTTCCCTGCATGAAGGCCCAGCATATTCCATTGGTTTAGGGTTTAGGGTTTAGGGTTTGGGGTTTAGGGTTTAGGGTTTAGGGTTTAGGGTTTAGGGTTTAGGGTTTTGAGATTTAGGGTTTAGGGTTTAGGAACTTCGGGCTTCAGCGTCTTTGAGAGAAGGTTGGGGGTATCCAACCAGCCCAGATTTTCGCAACCCGAAACCCCTAACACAAAGCCTAAACCCAAGCGAACGCAAAAGAGAACAACTACCGCTGGCAACCCTAATTAAACCCTAAACCCTAAACCCTACACACTACACCCTAAACCCTAAACCCTAAAACCCTAAACCCTAAACCCTAAGCTGGGCCTTCTTCACGTCCTCCATGGTGATGCCGTAGTTGGCAAGGATCTGCTTCTGCTGGGCCTGTGCACCGGACCCTCTACCACTACCCCCAAACCCGAGACCAGAGGGTTTCGGGTTTAGGGCTTAGGGCTTAGGGTTTCTGATTAGGGTCGAAACCAGAGGGTCTAGGGTTTCGGGTTTCGGGTTTAGGGTTCAGGGTTCAGGGTTTAGGGTTTAGGATCTCGAGGATCCTGAACCCAATGCCCGAAACACACAACAAAAAATCTTCAAGACCCGATGACCCATACAAGCCATAGACTCCCCCGAAGTCTATTAACCCTAGAAGCAGTGCGAACCCTAATTATAAGGGCTTGGGGGCTAGGGTTTAGGGATACGACCTCAAACTGTATAAGCTCCCTGAACCCTACAAGCCGTCCAAACTCTGTAAGCCCTCTAAACCCCATGAACCTGAACTGCGAAAGCCCTGCATAACCTCTGTCAAATACAAGCCACATAAGCCATACAAGCCCTATAAGCCCTATAAGCCCCAGAAGCCCCAAACCTCATAATTACAAGCCCTAAACCCTGAGCCCTGAACCCCAAACCCTAAACCCTAAACCCTAAACCCTAAACGACCCCTATGGGCCCCTAAATACCTCCGCATTGTGGCCCAGTCACCGTCCAGCAGTCTGGGATGAGCTCAAGGGCTTCCTTGGCCCGAAAAGTCTTGAAGACCCCTACAGGGTTTGGTTTGGGGTTTGGGGTTTGGGGTTTGGGGTTTAGGGTTTGGGGTTTGGGGTTTAGGGTTTAGGGTTTAGGGTTTAGGGTTTAGGGTTTAGGGTTTAGGGTTTAGGGTTTAGGGTTTAGGGTTTAGGGTTTAGGGTTTAGGGTTCAGGGTTTAGGGTTTAGGGTTTGGGGTTTCGGGTTTCGGGTTTCGGGTTTCGGGTTTCGGGTTTAGGCTTTAAGGTTTAAGGCTTAGGCGATTCTAGTAGGTCATTAGGGCTTCCTTGGTATCTCTGTTCGGTTTCTTATCCTGAGGTTCGTCCGCGGGCTTGACTACATCCCCGCCTTCAAGCGCACAAGCCAGAGTTCAGCAGTCGCATCCCACGTGCAAACGGAACCCACAGCAAGTTCAAGAGATTGTCCTGGGCATCCCTCATATTGACGCGTCTGTTCACAGGAGGAAATCTTCTTGCGGCCGTGCTCAGCGGGCAGGGTGTGAACACTGTGTTCAAGTTGCTAAGGCGAGCATCAATACAAGTCTACTCTTGTTGAGGGCCGAGATACAGCTAAGGCAACTGGATTAAGTACCTCCCCAGCCTAACATCAATGGCCCAAGGGTCTGAGACGGCAGGCTTTGCCGACACCCTAAAACCCTATACTCCTGCAAACCCTGAAAACCCTGAAAGCCCTCAAAAACCCTCAAACCCTAAACCCTACACCCGCAACCCCCAAAACCCTAAACCCTTCCCCATGAAGCCCCCCCAAATGTGCTGCAGGTTCTGGACTTGCTCGCGCTTGCGCTTGTATGAGAGGACAATCTAGACCCTAACCACTAAACCCTAAACCTAAACCCTAAACCCTAAACCCTAAACCCTAAACCCTAAACCCTAAACCCTAAACCCTAAACCCTAAACCCTAAACCCTAAACCCTTTAAACCCTAAACCCTAAACCCTAAACCCTAAACCCTAAACCCTAAACCCTAAACCCTAAACCCTAAACCCTAGACAGGCGACCCCGACTCGAGGCAAGTGCCTTCCATGGCCAAACAGATCTATGGAGGCACCATGTTGGGTTATAAATCATGTTCTGTTGTCCCTTGACTATAGTCAGCATAGGACCTAAAACCCCTAACCCTAAACCCAAAGCCCTCTACATGCCCGAAACCCTGAACCCTAAACCCTAAACCCTGGAAACCCTCAACCAAGCTGCGTTGGTCAGCGTGATGAAGCCATCGCAGATGAGCGGGACGGTGGTGACCTCTCGCTCCACCGAATCTGAACCACCGACGCCCTAAACGTTTCAAGGTTTAGGGTTTGGGGTTTAGGAATTAGGGGTTTCAAGGTTTAGGGTTTAGGGTTTAGGGTTTAGGGTTTAGGGTTTAGGGTTTAGGGTTTAGGGTTTAGGGTTTAGGGTTTAGGGCTTATACGGTTTAAGCTGAGGGTGGAGTCCTCAAAGGTGACATCCCAAAGCATCCCTAAGCCCCCAAACCCAAGAACCCAAACTCGAAACTCGAGACCCTAAACCCTAAACCCTAAACCCTAAACCCTAAACCCTAAACCCGAGAACCGATCCGAAGCCCTGTAAGCCCTGCGGCCTGTCGTCCGTAAAACCCTAAACCGTAAGCCCCCAAAACCTTATGGAGTTTAGGGTTTAGGGTTTAGGGTTTAGGGTTTAGGGTTTCGGGTTTAGGGTTTAGGGTTTAGGGTTTAGGGTTTAGGGTTTAGGGTTTAGGTTTAGGGTTTAGGGTTTAGGGTTTAGGGTTTAGGGTTTAAGGCTTAGGGTTGAGGGTCAACCGCGGAGCCTGTGAAATCTCGAGCACCGGCTTACCTGCAGGCTCCTATGTAGTACCTTTTCAGGGTGGTAGTATGCTATCCTGGTAGGCCAGTAACCATATCATAATAAGCCCCTTTTGGGGGGTTTAGGGTTCAGGGTAATTGTTATAGTAAGGGTACCCATTTTTGAGGTTGGTTCCTTTATGAGGGGACCTTCAACCAAAAACAAGGAGGAAAAGGGTACCACTGGGGTGCCTGTAACTACCCCATGAAGGAACTGCAGAAGGAGCCTTCAAGTAGGGCTTTCGGGCTTAGGGCTTAGGGCTTAGGGTTTAGGGCGTAGGGTTTAGGGTTTAGGGTTTAGGGTTTAGGGTTTCGGGCATGGAAGGTCTGGGAATGCCCCCCCGGGTTTGGGGCTCAGGGCTCCCCTCAAACTTCCAGTTGTAAGGTTTGGGGTTTCGGATTTTCGGCTTGAGGGCTTTAGGGCTTGAGGGTGGAGGGGTAAGAGGTTTTAGGGGGTTCAGGGCTTTAGGGGTTTCAGGGGTTTTTAGGGGTTTCAGAGTTTTAGGGGTTTCAGGGCTTTTAGGGCTTTAGGGTTTAGGGTCTTTGTGTTTAGGGATTTTAGGGTATAGGGTTTTAGGGCACCTTGTTCTTGAAGGCGGTGACAATCTCTCCGGCACCTTCGATGTTAAAAGCTGAGGAGGGGAGGGGGGTAGGGCTTGGGGCCTAGGGCGTAGAGTTTAGGGTTTAGGGTTCTTAGGGTTCTTAGGGTTTTGGGCATAGGGCTTGTAGGGTTTTGGGCTTAGGGCTTAGGGTTTAGGGCTTCTCCGCTATTGCAAGGAAACAGCCTGGTCCTGCAGCCTTCCGAAGGTGTTCCTAAACATAACCCCCTCTGGAGCTGAAAGCCTCAGCCCTAAACAGCTAACTAAACCCTAAACCCCCAAAAAACAACTCTTAGGGTTTAGGGTTTGGGGTTGAGGGTTTAGGGCTGAAACAAAACACTTACAAGTAGGGTAGCTTCATGGACCCTTGATATCCCTTAAATGGGGAGCCCCTACATACCCTTTTTACTCTACAGATCCCGTGGGCCCATATTTCGGAACCCGAAGGCCCATACTTCAGAACCAACGCACATCTTCAAAACTTGCTTCGCGCCAATCGGGCATACCAACTTGGCTTGGAGGATCCCATCCAAAGAAAGCACAGACCCTAAACCCAAACCCCAAACCCCAAACCCCAAACCCCAAACCCCAAACCCTAAACCCCAAACCCCAAACCCCAAACCCCAAACCCCAAACCCCAAACCCCAAACCCTAAACCCTAAACCCTAAACCCTAAACCCTAAACCCTAAACCGAGTCGATGGGGCCTGTCTCCAATCTTCAAAGTGCAATGTAGCCACAGCTTTCGCGAACGCGGCCGGATATTGCTGCGTTCGCCGGAGCTTAGCTGCGCCGGATCGGATCGTGCATGTGCCCGTGAGACAGCGGCTTTGAGAGCCTTGCCCCATAGTGATAGTCGCAGAGCTGATCCTGGCTTTCGAAAGGTCACGGCAACGGTACCGTCCTTACGCTTCTTGCGCTTCCGCAGCAGCATGGAAGAGCTTGCGCTTCTCGGCGGTCATTCGCTTGCGCAAGTTCCCAAGCCAACGCGAACATCCAATGCAGTAGGTGGGCTTGGCATTGGAATGACTGTAAAGTCCCATCCAAAAGGAGCCATACTCCCCACGCCTGCCCATTGCAACTCTCTTCAGAACCCTTGAAAAAGGTAAAGGACCATGTTCAGGGACCTTCAAGTTTAGGGCTCCAAACTACCCCGTAGATAAACCCCGAGCCCTCAGCCCGAAGGAAAAGCCCTGAAACCTATGACCAGGCTCAGGGGGTTTGGCACGTGAACCGTAACCCTAAACCCTAAACCCTAAACCCTAAACCCTAAACCCTAAACCCTAAAACCCCAAGCCCTAAACCCGAAACCCTGAAATCCCACGAGCCTTGGGGCATGCAGGGCTTTGGGATGATTGGGCTGAGTTCCAGCTTTTTCATCGGGTTTAGGGTTTAGGGTTTAGGGTTAAGGTTTAGGGTTTAGGGTTTAGGGTTTAGGGTGTAGGGTTTAGGTTTAGGGTTTAGGGTTTATGGTCCGCCGACCCTGGCGGCGTGTTGGATAGGTTTCTGGAGGTAAACCTCCCTTTTTCCCTACCCCCCCAAAACGCGGTGGGGGGGGGGAGGGGGGTGGGGAACTCATGGACCATAGGCGGTTTCGCACAGGGCATAGCGACCCCCCCCCCTACCCCCCCCCCCCCTTCCCCCCCCCCCCACCCCCCTACCCCCCCCCCCTACCTTTTCCCCCCCACACTTCAAGGATCGTAATCAGGCATCAAAGAGGGCCACCCACACCTGCTACCCCCCCCCACCCAAACACGGGTGCTGGGTCTGGCCTTTGTTCAACAAATTGCCCCATTTGGGTCCTGGTGCTACCCCCTACCCCCCCCCCCCCCCATTTCACAGAGGCGCAACCGTCTCACAACTTTTTGGGGTTTAGGGTTTAGGGTTTAGGGTTTAGGGTTTAGGGTTTAGGGTTTAGGCTTTAGGGTGGGCTTCCAAACGCCTAAACGGCCTAAATGGTTCGTCAAAGGCTACCTAAGCAGAGCCTTAAGCCGTCTTGTATCGGGCTTCGACAAACGCCAGGCAGAGGCACACCACATGCGCTTCAGCAGCTCGGGCGTCTGGACCGTCACCACACTCCTCGGGGTTTTTAGGAAGCAGTTTCGACGACTATGCCCTAGGGTCCATAATCAGAGAAGGGGGCACCTTTATCTGCCACGGTGACGGGGTGGTGCACACTTCACATAGCTCAAGACATGTCTTCATAAACGATGACCATGCGGGTAAGCACAGCCCTCCAAGCAGAGAGCTGCATGCAACGGTGCCGCGAGAGAGTGAATCGAGCAGTAGGGGCCCCACTGTCGGCCCAGCTTTGTGGTGCTACTGGCAGCAGTTGCGTCCCCTGTGGTTTAAGGTTCAGGGGGCGAACTTTTGAAGAGGCGTGGCCCTTCAGAAGAAGCGAGCGTTGCCTTAAGGATGCCCTACGCGCACGAAGCAGAACAGCACCATGTGGGTTTACGGATTGAGGTTTTGGGCTTAGGGGGACGGGCTAGGGTGCGTCAGTAGCTTGGGATGTTCCCTTTTACTAACAGTCCTTAAATAGGGATTCTCGTACCCCCTGATATAATCCCGATTAAGGACTGATAGTACAATAAGGGGAAACATCCCAATCAGTGGTAGACAACCAACTCAGCCAAGAAACTTGGTCGTGGCTCGGATCGTGTCGAAGATAAGATCCAGATCCTGTTGGAACCGTTACAGCCCAAATCTCAGACACAGTATATCAGAAAACGACATAGGCAGGCCTGTTTGGGTTTCTGTAGGAGAGGGCATTATATGTATGTATATATATATATATGTATACATGTATGTACATCTATGTATATACATATATATATATACTTGTAGATGTACCCCAAACAAGGCCCCGAATTTAGAGAATCCTCCACCTATTTTTGAAGTTGTGCTCTCCAAGCCCTCGAACAACCCTTCCCCTGGAAGGAGCCCTACATCCTCTAAACCCTGTACCCTAAACCCTAAACTTCCTAAACCCTAAACTGTTCACAAGATCACAAGCCCTGAAAGAACTACAATCAAGACTCTCTCCCGCCGAATCCGTGGAAGGACTCACCCTGTGTAATAGGGGCCTTAATAATTAGAATAGAGTTTAGGGTTGCTATAGTATACTTACATGGGGGTTTACGACAAGAGGGGGCCCACAAAAAAGACCCCCAAATAGTAGGATTCCCTTACAATGCGGACCGTACCCCGAAACCCTAAACCCTGAACCCTGAACGCTGTAACCCTAAACCCTAAGTCCCAAGAGCCCAATTGGGTCCTCCAGCTGATCTGAGTCCAAGAAGACATTGGCCGCGCTGTGCCTGACTCTCTGAGGGTTTAGGGTTTAGGGTTTAGAGTTTAGGGTTTAGGGTTTAGGGTTTAGGGATTCTTTTCACTCGGTCACGCCCGCGAAGGCAAGGCTTCATGCCGAGTTTGTGGGAAGCAGCCCGGTGAGATTTGGCATCAGACGCCGTCGTCAAAGATTCTCCCTGCTGTGTGCGTGTCCTGCTTGGTAGCCCAGTAACCATACTAGAATAAGGGCTTAGGATTTAAGGTTTAGGGTTTAGGGTTTAGGGTTTAGGGTTTAGGGTTTAGGGTTTAGGGTTTAAGAAACCCTAAACCCTTTTTTGGGTTGGTTACTTGTACCAACACAGCTCTCCAAAGAGTAGGGTTCCCTTTTTGTAAGGACCCCAATAAGGTACCCCTAAACCCTAAACCCTAAACCCTAAACCCTAAACCCTAAACCCTAAACCCTAAACCCTAAACCCTAAACCCTAAACCCTAAACCCTAAACCCTAAACCCCAAGAGCACTCCATGCACCGTAGCCCCTCGCACCTATCCCGCGCGTAAGAGGGCTATAGCCCTCCGAAGAAAAATTGCCCCAAAACCCATAGAACACCCGAAGCCCTTAAAACCGAAAGCCGGACGTGGGTGAATGGTTCGGGGTTTAGGGTTTAGGGTTTAGGGTTTAGGGTTTAGGGTTTAGGGTTTAGGGTTTAGGGTTTAGGGTTTAGGGTTTAGGGTTAAGCTCGCGATCTAGCACACCCTATCACAGCAGCCCTTTGTATGGGCCCCTAATGGGAGGAGCCCTTGAAACAAACGGTTCGGGACCATGTGATGAGCGCTTAGAAACGCCCAATGATCCCGAACAACCCTAAGCCCAGTGGTCCGAGAATCCTGAAACCACCCCTCACGCACCAAAGCCCTAACTAACTCTGAAAACCCCAGTGGAATACTAAACCAACCCAATTTAACCAGGGTTTGAGTGTAGAGTTCAGGGGACAGCTGCTTGGGGTTTAATTAGTATGCAGGGCTGAAGGGTGTAGGTTCACGGGTTCGACCCTAAAATCCTAAAGCCTTAACCCTAAACCCTGAACCCCAACCCCTAATCCGCAAAGAACCCAAGACCCACTGCCTGGCGACCAGGAGCTTGATGAGACGGCAGAGACTGCCAGCACCTCGCCCAAAACGCGCAAAACTTGTTTGGTTTGGGATGGGGAGGTGGGGAGGGTGGGGGTGGGGAGGGTGGGGGTGGGGAGGGTGGGGGTGGGGAGGGTGAGGGTGGGGAGGGTGGGGGTGGGGAGGGTGGGGGTGGGGAGGGTGGGGGTGGGGAGGGTGGGGGTGGGGGTGGGGGCCTAAGTACTATATCTCTGTATATAGAAATAGGGCTTGTTCGTCGAATGTGTGTCAATGTATGTATGTATCATATACATATACATATACATCTACACTACATCTACATCTACATCAACATAGACAAAACATAAACAGAAACACAAACATAGACATAGACGTAGACGTAGACGTAGACATAGACATAGACATAGACATAGACATAGACATATGCATATACATATACATATACGTATACATATACATATACATATACAGTTTTCATTTATTTCGTATTGCATCATTCATTTATACACTGAACAGCTGGCGGAGGCCTCCCTTGTGGTGGCAGAGGAAGATGCCGAACATGGCTTTGGGTGCGAAGTGGCGGTACACAGCGAATCCTTGGTTGAGGTGTTGAGGGGTTTAGGGTCTAGGGTTTAGGGTTTAGGGTTTAGGGTTTAGGGCTTGAGGGCCTCAAAGCCTAAGGTTTCTAGGGTTTGGGGCTTACGGTCTTCGGCGCATCCATTTTTTGGGGCCCCGAACGCGGTCCACATGGTCGCGTGAAGGCCGTTGTGCCCCAATCCCTAAACCCCAAACCCTAAATCCTAAGCCCTACACCCTATGTAAACCCTAAACCCTAAACCCTAAACCCTAAACCCTAAACCCTAAAGGAAGCGCGAGCTCCGCAACATGCCCAAGCTTGAGCTCCAAGACAGCTTCTCCCCCCCAATACAGTTCTACTCCGGCCCCAATTCTGGGTTTAGGGTTTCGGGTTTAGGGTTTAGGGTTTAGGGTTTAGGGTCCCCAACGATACATGCCCAGGCAGAGGAAGAATGCACTAGAACCCAACAAGTCCTACTTAAGCAGCGTTGTTCCATTGGCATATACAACCCGAGACCGAGGGGTCCTAAGGTCGAACCCCTTGCGAAGAAACTCTAAGGCCCTCAGCAGACCCTAAACCCGAAACCCTCCTGAAACCCCAAACCCCCTCGAACCGGAACCCGAACTGGGACTTAAACTCTGCGAACCCCCCCAAACTCCCCCATTAAAACCTACATTAAACCCTACGGCTCTAACTACCCCTCATAAACCCCAAAGGCATCTAACTGCCCCTCAATGCCCCTAAACTGCCTAAACCCTAAACCCTAAACCCTAAACCCTAAACCCTAGACCCTAACCCCTAAACCCTAAACCCTAAACCCTAAACCCTAAACCCTAAACCCTAAACCCTAAACCCTAAACCCTAAACCCTAAAACCCTAAACCCTAAACCCTAAACCCTAAACCCTAAACCCTAAAACCCTAAACCCTAAACCCAAACACCCAAACACCCAAACACCCAAACACCCTAAAACCCGAATGCGCAGAGTCAGGCTACCCACCGCCCCGAGGCCAGCCAACAGCGGGCCCAAGACGGCGAAGAGGAGAAGCCATCCCAACATCTCGGTGGACTGGTCCTGCGGACCCAAGGTTTAGGGTTTAAGGGTTTCAGGGTTTAAGGGTTTAAGGGTTGAAGGGTTTAAGGGTTTAGGGTTTAAGGGTTTAGGGGTTTAAGGGTTTAATAAAGGGTTTAAGGGTTTAAGGGTTTAAGGGTTTAAGGGCTTCAGGGCTTAAGGGTTTAAGGGGCTGGGCATCTCGGTGGACTGCTCCTGCGAACCCAAGCCCGGCTTTTGCGTTTTGGGGATTGAGGCTTGGGGTTTAAGGTTTAGGCTTTGGGGACGACAAGATTTAAGATTTATAGGGGTCAGGGTTCAGGGTTTTGGGTTTTGGAGTCTAGGGCTCAAAAGGCTTACGAAGCAAACAAGGTACCCTGCATTTGCCCTGTTTAAATGGGGATCTGAGGCTAAGACCACAAGTTCACTGCGCTTGAGTCCCCCTAAACCCTAAATCCTATTACCCTACACCCTAAACTGTACCTCTAACTCCAGAAACCCTTCAAGTACGGTTTGCTTAAGAACCCCCAAAACATGAAAGATGACAATCCCGATATTGCCCTGATAAGGAAGGACGTGTCTTTATTGTTTTTTGTGGGGGGAGGGGGGGGGGGGGTTCTGAAGCAAATTAGTAGTAAGTCCTAACCCACCCCTACACCCACCAAGTCTGGAAATCTCGACCTGATCCCAGAAGAAGATCCAGGTTACCGGCACACACTGGGGAGAAGGGGGAGGGAGGGGGGGGAACCTTGTAAAACAATCCAGAAATCTACGGTTTAGGTTTAGGGTTTTGGGGGTTATATAGGGCTATACGGGCTATACATAGGCTGATATCAGAAATATATATAGAAGGATTTGGACATAACGGATAATCAATGCCCCCCAGCACCGACGCGGGGACGTCACGCTATGGGTTGGCACTGTGCTTCTTCAGCTGGCTGGTTCCTAGTAGGGAATGAGGGAAAGAGGTACCCTATTTAATCCCTTGAAGGGGTTTAGAGCCTTAATTCCCTAATTCCCTACTAAGAACCAGGGGTCAGGGCCTTTCGGGCTAGGCCGAAGGGTTTAGGGCCTACTCAAAAACCTCAGGCCCGAAAACCCCTGAACCACGACCCAACAAATCACCCTAAACCCTAAACCCTAAACCCTAAACCCTAAACCCTAAACCCTAAACCCTAAACCCTAAACCCTAAACCCTAAACCCTAAACCCTAAACCCTAAACCCTAAACCCTAAACCCTAAACCCTAAACCCTGAGCCTTGTCGATCTCCAGGAGGGGTGCAGCTCCAAGCAGGACCACCTGAAAGAAGGGCTTGTGGCTGAGGGTTGAGGGTGGGTTGAGGATGTTGGGGTGTGGTTCAAAATTCAGCCCTAAACCCTAAACCCTAAACCCTACACCCTAAACCCTAAATCCTAAACCCTAAACTTCGTTTATCATTTAGAACAACGCCCCAGCTTGCTTAGTTCGAGGCTCAGAGCCCTAACCCTAAACCCTAAGCCGTAAACCCTAAACCCTAAGCCCTAAGCCCTAAGCCCTAAGCCCTAAGCCCGAAACCCTAGAAAGAAACCTTAAACCCAGGATTGCAGGTTTTGGTGCTCCAGGCTCGGGGCTGAGGACTTCGCGCTGTCTTGGGGCGCGAGAAGCGTGAGAGGTCGAAACCCTAAACCCTCATCACCTGGGATGCTCCCCCTTATACAAATTCCTTTAGCCTGCGGTTTAGGGTTTAGGGTTTAGGATTTAGGGTTTAGGGATTAGGGTTTAGGGTTTAGGGTTTGGTATTTTGGGTTGGGATGTTCCCCCTTACACTAACAGCCCTTAATAGGGGTTCTAGTAGCGGGTACGATAATCCCTATGAAGCACTGTTAGGGGAACTCATGACCCTCATGAACCCTAAAGCCCTGAACTCTAAGCTTGAACCCCCCGAACCCTACTATTAAAACCCTACTATTAAAACCCTCTGAAAAATACTCCTAAATATTATCCGCTTAACCCCGATACGGGGAATATGAAATATCCCAAGGGCCTACTCGTCTAAACTCTACACCAGCTTCAGTTCTCAGCCGTGGCATGTTCCCACGTCTAGGGCTCAGGGCTTAAGATCCCTAGACCCGGAATCCTAAACGAGGGTTTCTGATTCGAGGGCCATTACCTTGCTTCTTTGTCTCCACCATGAGGGACCCTCCACCTTAAACCTAAAATAAACCCGAAATTCTAACCCGAAACCATAAACCCCAAACCAAGCTTCGCTCGAAATCCGGGAACAGAAAAAAGGGGCACCCTTGCTTCTTCTACGGCTTTTGTTGCAAGAGAACCTCAACTCTGCACTCAACTCTGCACAAAGCACAGAACACCTGCGAAATCCTAAACCCTCACCCCTAACCCCTAACCCCTAAACCCTAAACCCTAAACCCTAAACCCTAACCCCTAACCCCTAACCCCTAACCCCTAAACCCTAAACCCTAAACCCTAAACCCTAAACCCTAAACCCTAAACCCTAAACCCTAAACCCTAAAACCTAAACCCTAAACCCAACACAAATTCGGCCTGAAGGAAGGCTGTCATCACCAAGTCCGCGTAGTTGGCCTCGCAAAGGACGAGGGGAAGCAGTTGCAGGTTGGGGGACCGGGGGAAGAGTTCTGGGCCTAGGGTATAGGGTATAGGGTTTAGGGTTTAGGGTTTAGGGTTTAGGGTGTCGGGTTTAGGGTTTAGGGTTTAGGGTTTAGGGTTTAGGGTTTAGGGTTGAGGGTTGAGGGTTTAGGTTGTGGAGTTTGAGCTTTAGGGTTTGGAATAAGGATGATACAAACCGTTTAGTAGTACGGTAGATTAGGGTCTACAGGCCTTAGGGCTCTGGGCCTAAAACCCACCTAGCGGGCGGCTTGTACACCCCCAAAAAAACCTCAACCCTCAAACCCTAAACCCACCAACAGGCTTGCAAGTCCCAGGGACGAAGCGGGTTCAGTTAGGGTTTCGGGCTTAGGGCATAGGGTTTAGGGTTTAGGGTTCAGGGTTTTGGGTTTAGGGTTTAGGGTTTAGGGTTTAGGGCGCACACCCCAAAGAAAGTGAGCCCACCTGGCGGTCCTCGGAAACACGTTTTAGCCATGCCCGCAAGATGTCGGCCGCACTAGGGTTTAGGGTTTAGGGTTTAGGGTTTAGGGTTTAGGGTGTAGGGTTTAGGGTAACCCTAAACCCTAAACAAACCCTAAGCTGTAGGGTAATTGCCAGCCTGCGGGGTACGCCACGGCCAGCTTCGCACCTGGTCTGCTTCATGCGGCCCAGCGGAGTTTAGGGTTTAGGGTTTAGGGTTTAGGGTTTAGGGTTTAGGGTTTAGGGTTTAGGGTTTAGGGTTTAGGGTTTAGGCTTTAGGGTTAGGGTCTAGGGTTTAGGGTTTAGGGTTTAGGGTTTACGGTTTAGGGTTTAGGGTTTAGGGTTAGGGTTTAGGCTTTAGGGTTTAGGATTTAGGGTTTAGGGTTTAGGGTTTAGGGTTTAGAGGCTTCATGTGTTCGACGGGGTTCGTCACACCGCTACGGATTCGGCTTCAGGGTTTAGAGCTTGGGGCTTGCAGTCTAGATTATTTGCTTTTGGGTGGGGGGGTGGGTGCTTAGGGCTTCGGATGTAGTAATAAGAGCTTAGGGGGTGAAGGTTAAGGAATCAAGGCCTAGGATGCTACTATTTGTTTAAGAGCCCCCAAAAAATCAAGAACAATAATGCCTATGTTGCCCATATAAACAAAATTTCCTATTATTGGGTGGTTCTTAAGCAAATGGTCGGATGCAGGAATACGGCTGTTGGGGTTTAGGGTTCAAGGAATCAGGGCTTGGGTCTTTAGGGTCATTGTGCGACCCGAGAGTTACACCTACTTCCGTCAGTTTCGGTCTGAAGCCCTAAACCCTAAACCCTAGTACTCTACAGACACCTGGCCACTCCCAACACCCTAAGCCCCTAAGCTAGCAAAACCAAGGGTTTAGGGTTAAGGGTTTACGGTTTGGGGTGCAGGGCTGGAGGCTTCGGGGCCGCCGTTCGGTGGTTTGGAGATATTGGGGGGGGGGGGGGGGGCCTAGGGTTTTGGGGCGCTAGGGTTCAGGGTTCAGGGTTTAGGGTTTCGGGCGCCAGGATTTGGGGGCTTGGGGGGGTTTAGGCTTCAGGAGTGTCGGGTTTCGTGCGCCTGCAGTGCACCGCCGAAGACGAAGAGCGTGCCCATGAGAACCACCTTGCCAGGGAGGGGGGTGAGGGAGTGTAGGGGTTGGGGTTTAGGATTCAGGGTTTAGGGTTTAGGGATTAGGGTTTACAGGAAAGCCGCGAACCGAACCGCAAACCGGAACCGAACCGCCAGGAACCGCACGCACGAAGGAACCGTGTGAACCGTGAACCGCCGAAACCGCGACAAACACGAACCGCCATGGAACCGAACCTGAAGCCAAGGCCTCCAGCCTCCAGCCTCCAGCCCTCCAGCCCTCCAGCCCCTCCAGCCCCTCCTCCAGCCACCCCTCCAAGCCTCCACCCCCCTCCAGCTTCAGCCCCTCCAGCCCCTCCAGTTTTTCAGCTCCAGCCCCTCCATGAAAGGGCTGGAGGGGCTGGAGGGGCTGGAGGGGCTGGAGGGGCTGGAGGAGGGCTGGAGGGCTGGAGGGGCGGAGGGGCTGGAGGGGCTGGAACCGTTCCAGAGTATGTACCCCAAAACCGAACCGAACCTACACGAACCGTGGCCTTACTGGGTTTAGGGTTTAGGGTTTGAGCTTTCGGGAGTCCCTAACCCCCGAACCCAAAGCCGCAAACCCTCAACCCCAAACCCTCAACCCCAAACCCTCAACCCCAAACTCTAAACCCTCAGCCCTAAACCCCAACCGTAAACCCAAAACCTTAAACCCCAAACCCGAGACCATACCCCTCATATACCTTACAAAACCCATACTTCAGAACCCTTTAAAGGGGGTAAGGGCCGAATTGCGCGTTGGAGGCATCAGTTCTTCTTCCACTCGACCTTGCAACTAAATATACCCTAAACCCTAAACCCTAAACCCTAAACCCTAAACCCTAAACCCTAAACCCTAAACCCTAAACCCTAAACCCTAAACCCTAAACCCTAAACCCTAAACCCTAAACCCTAAACCCTAAACCCTCAGCATCAGTGCTGGTCCTTCGCTCGGAGCCTTCAGGCTTTGTTGGTGTATGCATTTACCGAGGCGGCGAAGTGGCGTCCCATCGCATCGCCGCCCACAAGGCCAGGCACTTAGCTCCCCAAGAGCACGCAAGGAGGCAATGGGGCCATAGTAAGAAACCATGTAACTACCGGTACCCTAAACCCCAAACCCTAAACCCGAAACCCTAAACCCTAAACCCTAAACCCCAAAACCCTACCCCACAACCCTAAAATGCACAAGGGGCCCGCCTGCACTTCGGGCATCGACACGAACGCCACGGGGAAGAGCGCCACAAATGCCTGAATGGCTTCGGGTCTGGGAAGCTAAGGGGCATGTGCTTTGTAGTTCGGGCCTAAACCCTAAACCCTAAACCCTAAACCCTCTCTTACTATGTATATTTAAACCCTAATGACCTTCGTGACCATGTTGTTTTTTTTCTGGGCCCTAAACCCTGACCCCCTTCGTGACCAAATGGTTTTTTTCCGGGCCGTGCCTCCAAAAACACCCCAAATGAGGGGGACCCCAGGATCGGCCCGGGTCCCAGTTCAAAATGCGATTTTTTAGAACTGAAATCGACGCTTCTGGGTGGGCTCTCGTTTTCTGGATTTTTGATCAAAACCGAGCCTTTGGACCCTAAACCCTGACCCCCTTCGTGACCAAATGGTTTTTTTCCACCCGGGGGGGCCCTAAACCCTGACCCCCTTCGTGACCAAATGGTTTTTTTCCACCCGGGGGGGCCCTAAACCCTGACCCCCTGCGTGACCAAATGGTTTTTTTCCACCCGGGGGGGGCCCTAAACCCTGACCCCCTTCGTGACCAAATGGTTTTTTTCCACCCGGGGGGGGCCCAAACCCTGACCCCCTTCGTGACCAAATGGTTTTTTTCCACCCGGGGGGGCCCTAAACCCTGACCCCCTTCGTGACCAAATGGTTTTTTTCCACCCGGGGGGGCCCTAAACCCTGACCCCCTTCGTGACCAAATGGTTTTTTTCCACCCGGGGGGGCCCTAAACCCTAACCCCCTTCGTGACCAAATGGTTTTTTTCCACCCGGGGGGGCCCTAAACCCTGACCCCCTTCGTGACCAAATGGTTTTTTTCCACCCGGGGGGGCCCTAAACCCTGACCCCCTTCGTGACCAAATGGTTTTTTTCCACCCGGGGGGGTCCTAAACCCTGACCCCCTTCGTGACCAAACGGTTTTTTTCCCCAAATGAGGGGGGACCCCAGGATCGGCCCGGGTCCCAATTAAAAATGCGATTTTTTAGTACTGAAGTCGACGGTTCTGGGTGGCCTCTCGTTTTCTGGATTTTTGACTCAAACCGAGCTTCCTCCAACTCCGACCCCCCTTAAGAGGGAAAGTTTGCTTCCAAAAAGTTAGATTTTAGGTTTTGGGCGGACTTTTGAGCTATAAGCCTACTGAAAATGTATTGAATGATCTTTGTATTTTCTCAATGTTATGGGCTTCTTGGGTGGGTGGGATTTTTTTCCAATGCTTGACAAGCTGCTCGACTAGTGAATGCTCGGACTTGAGATGCTGAACCCTAAACCCTAAACCCTAAACCCTAAACCCTAAACCCTAAACCCTAAACCCTAAACCCTAAACCCTAAACCCTAACCCCAACACCCCAAACCCTAAACCCTAAACCCTCGGGCTTACGGCGACTTAGGTCAACCCCGAGTCAAGCTCGAGGTGCTGCGGCTTGCTTCATGCAGTGAGGGCTCCATGCTGTTATGTGGGACTTCCCTAAACCCTAAACCCTAAACCCTAAACCCTAAACCCTAAACCCTAAATCTAAACCCTAAACCCTTCATGGGCTTCTGCTGCAGCGAAAGCTCTGATGATGACCACCCTTTTGTTTGCAAAATGGGAACCTCGAACCCTTACAGCCTCCTGGTTTTGATGTGGGGAATGAGGTACCTACTAGTACCCTATCTAATCCCTTAAAACCCTCCTAAACCCAAACCCTAGACCCTAAACCCTGGTGTACATAGGGGAAAGAAGGGACCTAGTGCCCCCATTCCCTCCTCAGAAACAGTAGGACAAAAATGGCATAGAGGCATCACTAGTCATCACAGAGGTTCCTGGGTCGGGTCTGGGGCTTGGGGATTTTGGGGGGATTTGGGTTTAGGGCTGTTAGGGTTGAGGGTTGAGGGTTGAGGGTTGAGGGTTGAGGGTTGAGGGTTTAGGGTTTAGGGCTTTTATGAGGCTATTTTGGGAGCTTAGGGCTTGAGGGTTTAGGGGACATCTTCGCTGCACCTCCAACCACTGAACCACAAAAACCTCCAACCCCTAAACCCTGAACCCGTGAACCCCTGAACCCCTGAACCCCTGAACCCCTGAACCCCTGAACCCCTGAACCCCTCAACCCCTCAACCCTCAACCCTAAACCCTAAACCCTATACCCTAAACCCTAAACCCTGAACCCCTCATCCCTGTAGAACTCCCCACTGCGGGCCCAGAGGCGTTGCGGAACAGCAGCACAAGGCCGTAGTAGTAGCACTCTGGCCTGCAATGATGAGAGCAAGTTGGACTTCAGGGGGTGGGTAGGGTTTAGGGTTTAGGGTTTAGGGTTTAGGGGGTTTAGGGTTTAGTTTAGGTTTAGGGTTTAGGGTTTAGGGTTTAGGGTTTAGGGTTTCGGGTTTAGGGTTTAGGGTTTAGGGTTTAGGGTTTGGGGTTTAGGGTTTAGGGTTTAGGGTTTAGGGTTTAGGGTTTCGGGTTTCGGGTTTCGGGTTTAGGGTTTAGGGTTTCGGGTTTCGGGTTTAGGGTTTAGGGTTTAGGGTTCCAACTCCCCAACCCGTACCTTGAGAACCCAAACCTACGTTGGCTAGGTGACCTTAGTAGGGTTCAGAGGATGATTTAGGGTTTAGGGTTTAGGGTCTAGGGTTTAGGGTTTAGGGTTTCGGGTTTAGGGTTTAGGGTTAGGGTTTAGGGTTTCAGAGGATAGCCTTACACCCAGGGTCATTAGGGCGCGAGGCTACGGAGCGCAGCCTTGAACCCTAAGCCCTTGCCCTGAGGGTGCATGTACCTAACTAGGGAATACTTGTGCCTTTAAAGTACTTCTTATATAAGGACTGTGGGGCCGAAGTATATAATAAGGTACATGGACCCTTAGGGTTAGGGCTTAGGGCCTTCGGGCTTGCTGGGGGGGTAAAGTTTCTTGGGAGTTTAGGGTTTAGGGTTTGGGGCTTAGGGTCACTTAGGGTCTCGGGTTTAGGGTTTGGGACTTGAGTTGTTCTAGGGTGTTGGTTTAGGGTTTGGGGTTTGAGTTGCTTTAGGGATTATCATGCCACTTAGGCCATTAAAGCTCATGGCCTGAATCGCTGGAAGAGGAAGCGGTAGCGATTCCTTGGCACACTGAGTAGCTGATCCGAAAACTTCGATGCGCCCCCTTGTACTAGGATCCCTACTCACTTTTGATGTTTACATCAGCCCTACACACCCCCGATGCCCAACTGACCCCCCAAAACGTCGCCCTAAACCCCAAAACCCAAAGACCCTAAGCCCAAAGCCCGAAGAAACTAAGGCCCCTAAATGCCCGCACTCTTCCATGCTCTGCCTTTCTCCAGGCAGACCGGCTGCCAGTACAGTTCAGGGTTTAGGGCTCAGGGCTCACGGTTTCGGGTTTGGGGGTCTAGGGTTTAGGGGTTTGGGGTTTAGGGCTTAGGGCTTAGGGCTTAGGGTTTAGGGTTTAGGGTTTAGGGTAGGGTTTAGGGTTTAGGGTTTCGGGTTTGGGGCTTGGGGGTGCACATAAAAGTGGCTAAGGCTTTGCGGCGTCAGGGTAATGAGGGCTTTAGACTTCCGACTTGCGCAGGAATCTTGGGATTTAGAAACAACGGGCTTCGAAGCCATATCGGAACGTTAAGGTATTTGGGCAGCTTAGGGTTTAGGGTTTAGGGTTTAGGGTTTAGGGTTTAGGGATTAGGGTTTAGGGTTTAGGGTTTAGGGTTTAGGATTTAGGGTTTCGGATTTCGGGTTTGAGGGTTTTGGGGCGTTCGGGCTACGGGAGGACAAGTACAAGGTGAGCAAGGATGGCAGCAATGGCAATGCTTTGCAGCAACTTCCTCGAACCCTACACCCTGAACCCTATAAACCCTAAACCCTCGAAAGTTTAGGGTTTAAGGTAAGAAGCCTTTGTATGATGGCAGGGCTATGGATGCTTATTGAGCGAGCATGGTGCTGAAGTTAATTTAGGCTCATTCCTGGACGCGCACTCTCCACGCTGGAGAAGTTCAATATCTCAGGACCAAAGCCACCGGTTTAGGGTTTAGGGTTTAGGGTTCAGGGTTTAGGGTTTAGGGTTTAGGGTTTAGGGTTTAGGGTTTTTGGGTTTTTGGGTTTTTGGGTTTTTGGGTTTTTGGGTCTAGGCAATCGCCTGCTTTAGTCGGTGGTATTGTCTCATAGGCGACCGCGTTCTGAGCGTACATCCGAAACCCTATACCCCTACCTAAACCTCTACACCCTCAACCCTAAGCCCTAAGTCCTAAGCCCTAAACCCTAAACCCTAAACCCTAAACCCTAAACCCGTAAACCCAAGCCTCTATAAGCCCCCATAAGATCCTACTTGCAAGCCAAGCCGCACAAGCTGCAGGCCAGCTCCGGATGTGATGCGCGAGGGGTACATGGCCTGTGCAGGTCTAGGGTTGCTCAGCTGGCTTAGGGTTTGGGGTTTAGGGTTTGGGGTTTAGGGTTTAGGGTTTAGGGTTTGGGGCTTAGGGTTTGGGGTTTAGGGTTTAGGGTTTAGGGTTTGGGGTTTAGGGTTTGGGGTTTAGGGTTTAGGGTTTAGGGTTTAGGGTTTAGGGGAAAGAAGCCCTTCAACGAATTTAGCGTTCAGGGTTCAGAATTTGTAGAAATAGCAAGTAGGGCTTAGGGTTAGCTATAAGTTATAGTCGTTAAGGAACCTGCGGTTGTTCCCTTTAGTTTCTGGACCATTCTAAACATTGATCCAAAAACCCTAAATACTCCACAAGAACGGTTGAGTTTAGGGTGGATCAGGCGGGATCCCACTATGCCTCAATCAGCCCTTGCAGAACAATCTGTAGGGTTTTTTGTTTAGGGGTTCAGAGCTTCCCTCAGCTTATAAGGGGCCAAACAGCAACAGAGAGCATCAGAGAACTCGCCGACATGGATTTCGAGTGTTGGTGTTTAGGGTATAGGGTTTAGGGTTTAGGGCTAGCGTATAGGGTTTAGGGTTTGGGGTTGAAGGATCTTCAAAGCGATTTAAGATAGGCATCTGGAAGAGTAAGTAGCAATTCGCAGTCGTTTAGGGTTTAGGGTTCAGGGTTTAGGGTTTAGGGTTAAGGGTTAAGGGTTAAGGGTTAAGGGTTTAGGGTTTAGGGTTTAGGTTTTCGGGTTTTGAGTTTTGATGCCCCCCGGCAGCCCCAAACCCTCAAGCCCTGAACCCTAAACCCTAAACCGTAGCTGATGAGAGGAAGATGAACAAGAGGGTCTAGGCTTGAGGGTATATAGGGTTTAGGGTTTAAGCGATTCTCCATATATATTTCTAAGCCATAAGAAAAACGATGCGTAGACCCTAAACCCTAAACCCCCAATAAACCCTAAACCCTAAACCCTAAACCCTAAACCCCCAACCCTGAACCCTGAACCCTGGACCCTAAACCCTAAACCCTAAACCCCAAACCCCAAACCCTAAACCCTAAACCCTAAACCCTAAACCCTGAACCCTGAACCCTAAGCCCTAAACCCTAAACCCCACTTCTGCTGGCTAAAGCCGAGGCTTCGCCGAGTCCCCTGCAACCTAGAAGCTTCACGTTTCGGGTTTAGGGTTTAGGGTTTAGGGTTTCGGGTTTAGGGTTTAGGGTTTAGGGTTTAGGGCTTAGGGCTTATGGCTTGGAGTTTAGGGGAGGGTTTAGGGGAGGGTTTAGGGGGGGTTCAGCGTTTGGGGAGTTCAGGCTGAGATGCCCTGAACTCATCCAGCTTGCTGAGGCGAGTTGAGCCCCGGGCGGTTGTGTAGGAGGCCCAGCCCAAAATAGTGACGGGATAGGCGATGATGCCTGAGGGGTAGGAGTTGAGAGGGTTCCGGGCTGGTAGGGTGCAGGGTGTTTAGGGTTTAGGGTTTAGGGTTTAGGGTTTAGGGTTTAGGGTTTAGGGTTTAGGGTTTGGGGTGTAGGGTATGTGGTTTGGGTTTAGAGTGCAGGCGGCTAAGCGTGTTTTGAGGCTTGCAGACTGATGCTGCGGCGGCCCTTCCGGACCCCAATTGACCGTTGCAAATCACCCTGAATAATGTAGGAGCCTGAATAATTAGAATAGGGTTTTTTTCTTGGGGGGGGGGGGGTATTATAGTATAACATAAAGGGACCATAAGGGAAGAGTATTCCCGACCTTCATATGAATTTCCTCGGACCCCATCCGCACAGCCCCGCCAAACACTCAAAAGAATCACTGACCCGCAGCACATCCAAATTCCCCACGACCTTGTGCTCACCCCTCCCGCCCCCACACCCAACCCCAAAAACCCCTGAAACCCTGTGGCTCTAGTTACCCTAAACCCTGAATAACCTCAAACCCTAAACCCTAAACCGCATTGGGGTGTTTCAACGCCCTTGATACCCAAAAACAAAACTACAACAGGCAGCACTGGCAGCAAAGGGGCCCAGGATGGAGAGCACGACCAGCACCCAGTGCTCCGCCGAGTCGTAGCAGATAATTCCTGCGCACCCGCGATGTTGGTTAGGGCTTAGGGTTTGGGGTTTGGGGTTTAAGGTTTAGGGTTTAGGGTTTAGGTTTAGGGTTTCGGGTTCAAGGCTTTTGGGCCCTACAGCTTAAACCCTCAAGGGCATTGGGGTGACCGACAGGCAGGGCTGCTAAGATTTGGAGTTGCGGGCCGCTGGGTTTAGGGTTAATTAGGGTTTAGGGTTTAGGGTTTGGGGTTTAGGGTTTAGGGTTTAGGGTAGGGTTTAGGGTTTAGGGTTTAGGGTTTAGGGTTTAGGGTTTAGGGTTTAGGGTTTAGGGCTTAGGGCCGCTGGCTCCAGCATATTCTGGGTACTTGGGGAGGGCCCGAGGCTTGGGGGCACCCAAACTCACTCAGCCTCCAAACCCTAAAGCCCCCTGAAACCCTGTGCCTCTAGTTACCCTAAACCCTAAACCCTAAACCCTAAACCCTAAACCCTAAACCCTAGTTTTGCGAGAACAAAACGTGGAGCACTTACCCCCCCCTTCACCCTGAGCCCGAAATCAATCTTGGAGGGCCTGGGTTCGATGCCATGGAAGAGCTGCCATCCTTTGCAGATAGGGTTTAGGGTTTGGGGTTTGGGGTTTAGGGTTTAGGGTTTAGGGTTGAGGGTTGAGGGTTGAGGGTTTAGGGTTTAGGGTTTGGGCCCCGGGGTGCAGACGTGATTTGAGGGGTGTGAGGATTTGGATTCAAGGGGCCCAGGGTTCGGTCTGGGATTGGGTGGCTTTTTGGGCCCAGGGCCTATTGCTTCCTAGACCCTAAACCACAACCCTAACCCCTAACCCCATATCCCTAAACCCTAAACCCTAAACCCTGAACCCTACTGTAAACCCTGAGGCTCTAGGGATGTCGTTGTCACGACTGCTCTCGGGTTGTAGCGGGTTCAAACAGGGTTTAGGGTTTAGGGTTTAGGGTTTAGGGTTTAGGGTTTAGGGTTTAGGGTTTAGGGTTTAGGGTTTAGGGTAACATTCGCGCCTCAGGGCCTTTTGAAGCCTGAAGCCCAAGCCTAAACCATCCTAAACTCCGAAATCCAAGACTCCGAAAGCCTAAACCCTGGACTCCAAAACCCGAAACCCTGGACTCCTAAACCCGAAACCCTAGACTCCTAAACCCAAAACCCGAGACTCCAAAACCCAAAACCCTAAACCCAAAACCCAAAACCCAACACCCAAAACCCTAAACCCTAAACCCTAAACCCAAACTCCGAAACAATGCCGTTGAAGCCCAGCGACCGGGTTGCTGATGCCTGGGCTCTGGGCGGCAGCGCAGGGTGTAGGGCTTAGGGGTTAGGGCTTAGGGTTTAGGATTCAGCGTTCGGGTGCCAGGCTTTTGGGGTTTAGGCTTTCGGGTGATAAGGCTTAGGGTGTAAGTGTGGGGATGCAGGGTTTAGGGTTTTAGGATTTAAGGTTTAGGGTTCTAGGGGTTGGGGATGAAGTTTAGGCTTTTTAAAATTTTAACGTTTGCAGCTTTAGGTTTCCGGCTTTGGGGTTTAGGGCTTAGCAGTCAAGCTGTGCTCAAGCAAACGTCTGCGCAACAGGACGCTTGGCTCAAGGCTCAGGGGCCCTACACGGCAGAAATTCACACAGGGCATTGGAATACACTCGCGACAAAGAAATGCCCAAACCGATGCTGGATCTCAAGCAGGGCAATGTTCCAAACGGCGATCGGTTAGATGGGGATTTACGAAACAAGGGAGCCCTTTTCTAGACACCCAAAGAGTAGGATTGCCTTGTAAATCAGAGCCTCAAAAAGAAGGTACCCCTACATAGAAAACTCCCACATCGAAAAGCGATTAGCAAGGGGCAGGTCTTCTGGAATTGAATGCTCACGACGAACTGGGGAAAACTCCTAAACTCTAAGCACTCAACAGCTCCAACCCCAAACTCTCCAAACCCAAGCTACAAGCCCCATACACCCACCCCATGCCAGGCTACACTGGAAGGGGCTCAACACACCCGAAACCCTATTACCCTGTATGCCTATACACTCTATATCAGCCCTAGAAAGCCCCCCCCGCCCCCCCCCACCAGCCCAAACCCCCGAAACCCTAAACTCTAAACCCTAAGCCCTAGACCCTAAACCCTAAACCCTAAACCCCAAACCCTAAACCCTAAACCCCAAACCCCAAACCCCAAACCCTAAACCCTAAACCCTAAACCCTAAACCCTAAACCCTAAACCCTAAACCCCAACCCTATAAACCCTATACACCCCATGCCAGGCTACACTGGAAGGGGCCCAACACCGCCAGCGTCAGCGTGATGAAGAGTGCGAAGAGCAAAATGCCGTTGAGGTTGAAGACCTGGGGAGACATCTTGGGGTTTAGGGTTTAGGGTTTAGGGTTTAGGGTTTGGGGTTTAGGGTTTAGGGTTTAGGGTTTAGGGTTTAGGGTAATATGAAGTAGGGTATATATTTCTTGTACCGACAAAAGGACACCCAATATATACACTCACCAATTCTAAAAAGAACCTTATGTACACTCACCAATAACAGTCATATAAACTCTACTATAAGGGTTTGGGGTTTGGGGCTTGGGATTTGGGGTTTGGGGCTTTGGGGCTTTGGGGCTTTGGGGCTTTGGGGCTTTGGGGCTTTGACATTTGGGGGTTTTGGGCTTAGGGGCTTAGAGTTTTTCGCAGAGTGTTAGGGGTCTCGGGGAGGATGCTAGCCATCCGCGCACGCTTGCAGCGGATGGACCGAGAGAATGAGAGATCCTGAGACACCCCTCGCATGGGCATTTCGGCTGCCATGAGGGTTTAGGGTTCAGGGTTAGGGTTTAGCTCATTGCGAGCACAGCGTTAAGCAGGTCCGGGGCGGTGTAGCCCTGGTGAAGCCGGCCTCGCCGTTGCCTGTTCCCAACATCAACTTCTATCTCCTTACCCTAAACCCTAAACCCTAAACTCTAAGACACATAGGAAACCCTGCGGCGCTACTCCATGGTCCTTTCCCACTTGCTCCAGGTCTAAACCTTAATTTGTCTTAAGAACTCTAAAGCTCCTAAACCCTATACCCTAAACCCTAAAGCCTAAACCCTAAACCCTAGACCCTAACACCCACGCCTCCTAAACCCTTGGAATTGGGGGGTTGGCGGCCGCAACCCCCAACTTCCCAATTCCAAGGGTTTAGGAGGCTTGGGTGTTAGGGTTTAGGGCTTAGGGTTTAGGGTTTAGGGTTTGGGGTTTAGGGTTTAGGTTTTAGGGCTTCGGAAGTTCTACAAAGCTTGGGGCTCATGGGATCTCCGCAATCTCTAAACCCCTAAACTCCCAAACCTAAACCCTACACCCTAAACCCTAAACCCTCAACCCCAGCCCCCTCGGTTCCCGGCAGCATCCAGCGACATCTTCCGGCCACGCAGCCGCGCCACGCCCCAAGCGATCTTCGGCTTGAGGGTTTTCTTGGGGGGTCTCGGGCCCTAAACCCTAAACCCTAAACCCTGCACCCTAAGTCCTAAGCCGCTAAGCCCTATACCCTAAGCAGGAAGCAGGGCTAGGATTTGGCGTTTAAGGACAACAGAGACCACAAATATGGGCCTACACCTGTACGGGTGCTTCCGAAAATTAAGGTCGGCCCCTTTGCCCAAAATCCTGTCCTCCCTTGAAAAAGGAACCCCTAAACCCTAAACCCTATAAACCCTATCAACCCTATAAAACCTAAAAACCCTTTAAACCCGTAAAACCCTAAAAACCCTAAACCCTAAAAACCCTAAACCCTAAAAAACCCTAAACCCTAAAACCCCTAAACTCTAAAAACCCTAAACCTTAAAAACCCTAAACCCTAAACGCCAAACCCTAAACCCTATCCCCTAAGCCCTAACCCCGAAACCCTAAACCCTAAACCCTAAAAACCCTAAACCCTAAACGCCAAACGCCAAACCCTAAACCCTAACCCCGAAACCCTAAACCCTAAACCCGAAATAAGCCCTACCTAAATCCCCCCAACGTGGAGTCTTATGGCCTAGGGTTGATCAGGAGCTGGGGACCTGGGTGCCGGCTAAGGTTTAGGGTTTAGGGTTTGGGGTTTAGGGTTTGGGGTTTAGGATTTAGGGTTTAGGGTTTGGGGTTTAGGGTTTGGGGTTTAGGATTTAGGGTTTAGGGTTTGGGGTTTAGGGTTTGGGGTTTAGGGTTTGGGGTTTAGGGTTTGGGGTCTTGGGTTCAGGGGGGAGAGCTGCGTTTCGCAAGCCTGATTCCTGCGACCTGAACCCTGCGAAGCGACCTGAAGCCTGCGCTTCTGCACCCCTGAAGCTCTAAAGCTTCTGAAGTTTCGGGTTTAGGGTTTCGGGTTTCGGGTTTAGGGTTTAGGGTTTAGGGTTTAGGGTTTGGGTTTGGGTTTAGGGTTTATACGGTTAGGAAACCGAACGCCCTAGTAAGCGCTAAACCCCTTCTCTAAGCACTCAAACCCCTGGACCGTTAAACCACGAAACCTCCCAACCCCAACCATACGGGCCATACAAGTGTTATTAAGGCCTACAACCTGCACCCTAAACCCTACACCCCATAAGCCCTATTAACCCTATTCGCCCTATAAACCCTACAAAGCCTATAAACCCTACAAGTGCTGTACACTGTAAACCCTACAAGTCCTATAATCTTTCTGTAAACCCGAAAAAAACAACAAACCCTATAAACCCGATCAACCCTATGAACCCTACGAAGCCTGCAAACCCTATAAGCACCATAAACCTAGACCCTGAGACCCAGCAAAAAACCAAGCCCTATAAACCCTAAACCGTACAAAAATCCTGAACCCTAAACCCCCTAAACCGCCTAAAGCGCCTAAACCTGCTAAACCCCCTAAACCCCCCAAACCGCTTGAGCCCCGAAACCCCATAAACCCCTAAACCCGCTAAACCCCCTAAACTCCGCTCAACCCGCTAAACCCCCTAAACCCCCTAACCCCCTAAACCCCAAATCCCAAACCCTAAACCCTCAACCCTAAGCACAAAACCCTAATCCCCATAAACCCTAACCCCTAAATCCTAAACCCTAAACCCTAAACCCTAAACCCAAATTTCCAAGTCAGGTCCCAGGATCCATGACCAGGCAGAATCCGGCGGGACACGCCAGAAGCTGACCCAGGAACTTGAGTGTAGGGCCTTGGTTTCAGGGTTTAGGGTGTAGGGTTTGGCGTTTAGGGTTTAGGGTTTAGGGTTTGGGGTTTAGGGTTTAGGGTTTAGGGTTCAGGGTTCAGGGTTGGAGTTTAGTCAAGGCTTAGGGTTTAGGGTGCAGGGCTCAGGGTTGAGAATCTAGGGAGGTGTAGGGTGTAGGGTTTAGGGGTGAGGGGCTTTGGGGGTGTTGGGCTTGTAGAGGTGGGAAGTTACTGGGATATGCATTTCGAGCTGGGCGGTTGGTTCGATGGACGGGTTCGGCACACAATGTCTGTTTGATGGCGGACAGGGATCTTAAGGGGGGAGTAAGCCCTAAACCCTAAACCCTAAACCCGGTGGGTGGGGGGGGGGGGGGGGGGGGGGGGGGGGAGGGCCTCCTGATAAGTAACTGTAGCAATGGAAGCCCTGACTGAAAGAACCGCTGTTGAGGAGTCAGCCTCGAGGGCTCGGTTTTAGGGTTTAGGGTTTGGGGTTTGGGGTTTGGGGTTTAGGGTTTAGGGTTTAAGGTTTAGGGTTGATTTAGTTAGCAGAACCCTTGCCCATTTTGGGTAATAATACCACCAGTCAACCCATTAGACGATTATTCCTATACTCCCCCCTACACCTCACCAACTATATCACCACTACTTCCCCATTACCAAGACCAGTATAGGAATAACCGATTACCTCATCCATATAAGAGGAATATTCCTATACTCCCTACTACTATCCCCCAAATATCACCACTACTTCCCCATTACCAAGACCAGTATAGGAATAACCAATTACCCTATCCATATTCCCTAAGGTGGTATTATTACCCAAAATGGGCAAGGGTTCTCTCATAGATTTTACTAGGTTTGGTTATAAAGGTTGTAATCATAATAGGATTATATTCCATAAACTCTTATGAAATGTGCTTACATTATACTTATGTTTTTTTTAACTCACGTTTCCTTTTATCATTATACTTTTTCATTCCATCAAGACATTCACAGCAAGTAACAGTGGTTCTACACTGCATTAAATACCTCCCCGTTTTACAATGATAATATCTTTTGAAATGCACTAAATTCTTCAACTTCTTACATCTAACACATTGCCGATCACAATGGGGAGGGTAATGCTCAGTATTAAAATCCATGGTTATCTTATCAACATATATTGTCATATTATATTATTTTACAATATTTATCATAATTTATTAATTATGACAAGCATTGTTTCAAACTAATTAACCATTACCATGTTCTTTTGACATGCTTATGGAAGGCACACTGGGGAAATGGGAGAAATGGGGCGCTGACGCGAATGCACGCGGGGCTCGTTCCTTGCGTCATTCTATAAGTAAATCACTCTTTACAACATTATTTTTGCAATTCTTCCAGCTGATAAAACTCAAACAACAATTTAAATCGCTTCTTATACTCTTCATAATGATAATAATCCTCTAGTTCATCTATAATAGCACTTAATCTGGCGTTATACATTCTAATATTTCTTCTTTCCTCCAGCCAATCAGTTTTATTTTCTTTGTTTTCTTTCTTAGTAAACAAACAATCCATGTATATATATTATTTACATTTTTTAACATTTTTAAGATAATATAAAAATGCCTTAAGAAATTCCAACAAACTGTGACAACACATTCTGTATCTTGGAGTTTTATTATTTCATCAAAATTCTCTATCTCATTTATTACTTCTATGTATTTATCCATATATATTTTTTTGATATAATTTCTCACTAGTATTAATGTTAGAAGATATTCCTAAAGTAGAACCTATAGACATACCCAAATACAATTATAAGAATAGTAAATACGGGATGATGCCAAGTCTACCTGCAAGAATGTTATGTGTTGCCTCTTCAACGGGTGGCAAGTCTGTTTTAATACAAAATCTAATTTTAAAGATATACCGTGGTTCATTTGAAAGGATATACATTTTTAGCCCTAGTGTGCATGTGGATGACACATGGAGAGCAGTCAAGAAATACATTACTGACGTAATGAAAGTGGATACCGAAAAGGAAAAAGTATATTATGAAGAATACGATCCAATTGCGTTAAAGCATATAATAGAAACGCAACACAAGGTAATAGACTTCCAGAAGAAGAATAAACAAAAGGAATTATTCAGTATTTTAATAGTGGTGGACGACTTTGCCGATGATCCTAAATTTGTAAGATACTCAAATATCTTGCATGGATTGTTCACACGTGGAAGACATAATGCCATCTCATGTATTTTATCAACACAAAAATATAATGTCCTTGCCCCTATAATAAGACTTAATGCCTCGGCACTTTTCATATTCAGACTGAAGAACATGAACGAGGTAAATAGTTTCCTAGAAGAGAATAGTGCCCTTGTAGACAAGCGAACACTTTATGACATGTATCAACAAGCGGTGAACTTTGCGCCTTACTCGTTCTTTTATATAAACACAAATGCTAAAGATGTGAATAACATGTTTTATATTAATTTTGAACAACGCTTTGAAATAGGTGATTAATAATATTATTTCCTAAAATATTATTGATCAAAATATTATTAATCACTATCACTCTTATTTTTCTTTAACTTA